TATTGTTCTGATCTTAACAACTAATAGTAGTTATTCGTTGGAAAATGAGTGACCTGTTGCTTCAAGTCTTTCTCAATTATGAGATTGCGGTTCTATTTCTAGGATGCTATTACAATATCGTTTAATGTTGCAGTTTGTTCACTGTATTGTATGGGCAAAAGACCTGCTTTTTGCAAAATTATTTGGGGACAAAAATCAGGAAAATGATTTGAATGTGCATTCAAAAGATGGTTCTAGCTCATCAAAACAAGCAGAAGATGTTTTTGAACGGCATAAGGAGGAAAACTTAGAACAATATGGAAACAGAATATATGATCATGTTTTTGGTTATAACACTGAGTTAGCTTTGTCAAATGAAGAGACATGGAGGAATCGTAACAAGCCAAGGCCTATTTATGTCAAAGATGTATTTTCCTCTGACCTTGCTAGTCAAAATGGAAATCTGGACAAGAGTTCAAATGGTGATCCTCCTTCACTGTCTGCAATGGCGTCACTGGGTTTGAAAAATCCACAGGATCTATGGTCCTTAAAGGAAAATTCTAAAGTATTCCTTGAGGCTCTGAAGTTGTTTTTCTCAAAGCGAGAAAAGGTTTGAGACGAGTTATTACATTTTTTGATAGACCTCATGTTCTTGTTCTTCTTCGTTCTTGTTGATATTGAATGTTTCCCTTCATCCTCCCTCTCAGGAGATTGGTAACTTGAGTTTTGACAAAGACGATCAGTTAGCTGTAGAGTTTGTAACTGCTGCAGCAAATATCCGAGCTTCTTCTTTTGGGATTCCCCTGCATAGCCTTTTTGAGGCTAAAGGTATTGCTGGCAATATTGTGCATGCCGTTGCAACAACAAATGCCATAATTGCTGGATTGATTGTGATTGAGGCGATCAAGGTGCTGCAACATGATATCAAAAACTATAGGTAGGTCCTATTATCTGTCACTATTTGTACTCTATTCCTTTTAGTCACGCATTTTTATTTATGCAACAAGTCCAACAAGACCCAATAGATAATAACTAAAGTAGAAATTTATAATTATTTGGGCCCTTTTAGGGTTGGTGGTGGTGGTGGGTTATTTATTGATGATATTGACATTTTATTTGGTTAGAATCTATGGAGGAACTTCTTAAATTGGTGACTAATGACCACTGTTATTCTTTTATTCTCGCCATCTCTCTGTCGAGCACTTACCTGCACTCTCTCCTATTCTTTTATATTTTTTCATATTGCATGAACATAGAGCTGCATTAAATTATCACCCTATTTTACTGCTTAAAAAGTAGGGACAATGGCATAACACAGTCAAAAACAGTATTGCCTTTTTTTTTGCAATTCACATTTGTAACTGCCTTTTTAACAAGCTCTGCTTGTGCCTGCAGGATGACTTATTGTCTTGAGCATCCTTCAAGAAAGATGCTTCTTATGCCAGTAGAGCCGTTTGAGCCAAACAAATCGTGCTATGTCTGTTCTGAGGTTACCTCAATTCTCTATTTCCCCCATAAATCTATGTCTGTTCCTTTTCCCCTTGTACTCAATTTTGTGTTGATAGAACCCAACTGCATTTTGATTGGTTGAACATTTTCTGCTTTCTAATTTTGTGCTATACATATGCAAGTAGACACCTTTGGATCTTGATATTAATACACATCGCTCTAAGCTGAGGGACATTGTTGACAAGATTGTGAAAGCAAAGCTTGGCATGAATTTGCCTTTGATCATGCATAGATCGGCCCTTCTGTATGAGGTTGGTGATGATCTTGAGGAAGACGAGGTTGCCAATTATGCAGCAAACCTTGAAAAGGTAGATTGTCTTTAGTTGTATAGTTTTTCTTTTCAATGACGAGTTGCCATTTAGCTCATATATTCTGTTAGGTACTATCCGAGCTTCCTACTCCGGTCACGGGTGGGACAATTCTCACCGTCGAGGATCTTCAACAAGAGCTGAAATGCAGCATCAATATCAAGCATAGGTTTGTGTCCTGCCACTCCACTATTCCTGATGTTTGCTTAATGCCTTAATCATTATGTCCATTCATAATTTCACATATGGAGCTGCATGGGTATAATCAAGCGCGATAAAATTAGTATTTAATAGTTGCTTTTAGGTTCTGGAGGCTTTTTACATCATGAACAAGGCAATAGCTTGGTTAAAACTTATAAGTAAACACTTTTTTCTCCTTCAAAATTTCACTATGGTATTCTTTTTGGGATAATTTGCTCTGAGATGAAAAGTGAAGGAAACATAATTCACTCTTCCTGCCTGCTATGTACAGAGTAGTTTTAAATTCTTGTTGCTGACACAGTCTAGTTCTTCCACTAGATCAGCATCAGCTTCACCTCCACCTTTGTGAACGTTATTTTCCTCTATCATAATCTATAATTTATTACAAGTTCTGTGCTGAATTTAGCTTGTTGGTTTCCTGCTAATACGCATCTATGGTATTAGATTGATGCTACCTGTCATTTTGTAATATTGGTTACTAATGTTTTATTTTTTATAACGGCCATTCAAGCTTAGACGAGGGGTTTTTATGCAACACATCTAAGGTTGAATGGCGGGTTTTTGGTTTCCCCTACCCTAGTATATTGATATGAGCATTTTTACATGGAGAGGGACAATGAACAATTTTACCTCGAGGAATTACACACTAACATCTTAAAATATACATTTAAAAATGAAAAATTGGATCAGTTCGAGTCCCCTCAGGGCAACTGAGGTGAGTACTCGGCCGTAAATTTCAGGGCCCCGTGGAATTAGTCGAGGTGCTCGCAAGCTGGCCAGGACATCCACGGTTATCAAAAAAAAAAAATGAAAAATTGGAACTCTCCATTAACCAGTTTAATAAGCATATTGGTGTTCCATTGGAGTCCCTAACTTGTATCATCTTGAAGGATTTCTCTTTGTACCCATTATTAGCAAGCCAATTAGCTACTTTGTTCCCTTCTCTCCAAATGTGAGAGAATGAAACATCCAATTTACTTTTTCAGTATTGAAGCTCCACAATCCTGTATTGAATACACTATGGACCAGCTACAGAGTTGTTTAATCCATGACACAATATGATTTTGCGAAACAGTAGTATTTCACCTTGATCCTACATGCCTTGATGATGGCGGTTTTGATGTTGTTTTCCCTATTGGTACAGTTAACTTACAAATTTGTGCCCATAGATAAAGCACTGAAGCAGAGATATAAGTAGAAGTCCGCATAAATCTTCATGGCTAATAATCATGAAACGCTGCGATTGCTACTTATAAAAGGAATCGACTGTTGTTTCGCATTTTGGATTTAGGATGGCAATATAACTGCTGTTTGAATGCTTTTATTTCTAACATATTCAATTTCTTTATTTGTTTCTTTTATTTAGTGAAAGAGTTTTTAACCCTGACGGGTTGCTCAATTGGTCAGGCCTTGGGTTTGCTCCCCAATGGTCATCAGTTCGAGTCCCCTCAGGGCCACTGAGGTGAGTATCCGGCCGTAAACTTCAGGGCGTTGAATTAGTCGAGGTGCGCCCAAGCTGGCCCGGACATACACGGTTATAAAAAAAAAAAAAAGAGTTCAAATTCTGGATCTCCTTTGAAAATCTTTTCTCATGATCTGTGTTTCACGTGCAGTCTGCTTTTCCTGTTAAACTTGTTGCATGTTTTACTAAGCTTAAAATAAGTAAATTTACTTTTTATTTCCACACATTTATATAAACTACAATTTTTTTTTTGTAGGAAATTTTTTTCTTGTTGAAGAAAACTCCTACAATACCGCAAAATAAATTTGAACTCTTTTTTTCAACCTCTAGTAACACATTAAAATTTTCAGGGAGGAGTTTGACGAGGAGAAGGAACCTGATGGAATGATTCTCTCAGGATGGATACAACCTCTTGCAGCAGAAAAGAATGGCAAGACAACTGTTGACAATGAAGTGAGCACATCCAGTGCATCTGAAGCTGTTCCATTATTGACTGAAGATGACGACGATTTGCGAATCATTCCAACAATAACTGGGAAGAAAAGAAAGCTATCCGACGTTGCCAATGAGAGGAAGAATAAAAGAAAAGCAGAAGAACCCAATAGTAAGAACGATGTTGTCCTGCTTGATGATGAGAAATTCTGATATGAGCAAGAAGAAGAGGGAGCAATAGCTAGGTTTTTTCCTTGATTTTTATTCCAGTAGAATATTTCACCCTAACTTTGTACACACCCGAGAAAGGCGATTCTAGTTTAAGAGAAAAATGAAACTTCAGGCATGTTTTTGTCTAGATAACTTCAAATTTTTTATTTAAGGTGTAACTTATTTTGCTCATGCCACCCTATGTATTCTAACTTTTAATGGATTGTAAGGGCCTGAGCATTGTAACTTTTGTGTAGCAAGATTTTCTCATGTCTGTGTACAAAAATATTGGCAGTTGGGGATAAAAGTATGGCTCTGTTGGCAGTTGCATCGTTATTGTTTTTTCTATATTTTGATGTTGTTAGCTTAGGCAAGGGGAATCCTTTTTAACTTGGCAGGTTCTTGGGCATCTCATGCTTCCCTTTTCACTGTCGAAAGCAATACCAATGAAATTTTCAGTTGATACGTAATGAAATAAAGTTGGTGCCGAGGAAAGACTCATGCAGCTCGATCCTGTTTGATGTATAATTTTCCTGGGATTTTTTTTAGCTTCGATGACTTGTAAAACAAAACTGGCAATGTAATAAATAATCTGTCATCAAATTTTGGGTTCAATTGGTGCCTTCTTTCAAAATCTTTAGAGACAATACCATTACTTATTGCTTCCATTTATATTTCATGCATTAGCTAGCTGACCGATAGTAGTTGCACAAATCTACTGATGTTGGAGTGGCATATTGGTGACAAAGGAAAAATGATTTGAATGTGCATTCAAAAGATGATTCTAGCTCATCAAAACAAGCAGAGGACGTTTTTGAACGAACATAAAACAATATGGAAAGATAATATATGATCATGTTTTTGGTTATGACATTGAGTTAGCTTTGTCAAATGCAGAGATGTGGAGAAATTTTAAGAAGCCAAGGCCTATTTATGTCAAATATGTATTTTCCTCTGAACTTGCTGGTCAAAATGGAAATCTGGCAAGAGTTCAAATGGTAATCCTCCTCCATTGTCTGCAACGGTGTCTCTGGGTTTGAAAAATCCAGGGGATCTATGATGAAAATTCTAAAGTATTTCTTGAGGCTCTGAGGTTGTTCTTCTCAAAGTGAGAAAATGTTTGAGACGAGCTATTACATTTTCTGATAGACCTTATGTTCTCGTTCTTACTCTTCTTCATTGTTGTTGTTATAGAATGTTTCACTTCTTCCTCCCCCTCAGGAGATTGGTAACTTGAGTTTTGACAAAGACAATCAGTTAGCTGTAGAATTTGTAATTGCTGCAGCAAATATCAGAGCTTCTTCTTTTGCGATTCCACTGCATGGCCTTTTTGAGGCTGAAGGTATTGCTGGCAATATTGTGCATTCTGTTGCAACAACAAATGCCATCTGTTGACACACAAAATATTCAGTTCAATTCAAATGGCCCAAGAGAGGAAATGGCCCAAGAGAAGAAGCTCATGTAGAGAGATCATGGTGAAAGCCCAACCAGAAATATCATTAAACATGATAAAAACCCAAAAACAAAGGAGCGTTGTCGCCCA